TTGAAATGTCCACACCCGTACCTCTGCTGCAGTAATTTTCTGTACTGCACAAATAGTCGATGCTTGGCTTGGGCATGACCACGCTCACTTTGTTATAAATACGATATTTTTATTCAAAATGTTTTCAAAACATTCTATAAAAAAACTTCTTTTGTTTTAATGTTATAACTGTTGCATGCGCCTAGCACACCTTAAAGGCCTTCGAGACAGAGATAATAAGCTATTCAAAATAAGTTGCGTGACAAAAGTAATTTAAGTACTCTGAAACCATTACAGTATATAAAACAAAATTATTTACCTATAATTTGCAGATAAACCACGTGCGTTTTCATTGAAAATGTGTACATTTCAAAGATATACTATGCCCAAACCTGAGAAAAATATTTTCATCACAGAAATTTCTTGAACTCTATGAAATTCTTATTGAATATGTCAAATTTGAATAAAAGTAGGAATAAACTTTGTATGGGGAGGTGCATTCAAAATTACATACCATTAAAAGTTGCTTTTTTCCCTTAAAATAATTGCCAGTTTTTCTTAATGAAACTATATATTCATATTGTGGCCAACGTACGATAATGTGTTAAATTTAAAACATAGCATATCTACAGTAGAACTTCGGTAAGTCGAAGTTGAAGGGACTTGCGTAAAAACTTCGACACATCGGGACTTCGACTCATGAATCGCTCTCAATTCCATGACAAAATTTCGACCCGTGACTAGTCCTAATTATAAGCCCTATAACGAAACATATTTCATGTTTTTCCATCATTAATCTTATCTTTAAATTTTACAATGATAAATATAGCATGTCAAATTACGTTTTTCACGACTACCCAAAGAGTTACAAAAGGCGTATGATTACGAAAGGGCGATAACTAAACCAGCTTATAGTAAATATTTCGCGTGTTATTCTCACGCGACACCGGGTCAAGGATGTTTTCAAATGAAAGTAGTGAAGTAGTTCTTACTGTTTACTTTCAAATACCAATGCGGCAATTAAAAAAGTTACGATTAAAGCATTTTATCGCAAACAAAGGCTGTTTGAACACACGGCTGTGTTATTAACACCTATCACACAAGTTGATTGGAAATCGTCTTCGCAGCCAGATAAGGTGTGAAAAATGTCTCGAGGTCAAAGGTGTCAAAACAATCCAACGACTTCGACTTATTTGTGGTAAATTGCACTAGATTTACTTTATACGGACCATGAAAAAACCTCGACACATCGAAAAATTCGACACATAAAATTTCGACTCATAAATAGGTTTTTATAAGGAATCTATAGGGGGGAAAGTCGGGACTTTCATTTTTATTTGACACATCGATAAAATCGACTAATCGAAGTTCGACTCATAGAAGTTCTACTGTACTTTGTGTGAAGTCAAAACATGTTTATTATATATTTACAAAGAGACTGTGTATCAATTATCAATATTTTTGAATATCAAATTTGAACATTGCATATATTTAAAAGTGTATTTTATTTTACTTTATTCCATGTTTTTTTCAGCCGACAGTGAATTTATACATGTATTTTAATGATTATCATTATTATATGATTTTCATAGCAGACATATTATTTTGAATTTGGATTGAAAATGTAACGTAATGATTTAATAAGAAAATGTGTTTTATGCAAGATCAAATTTCATTTCACTTGTGAAAATATTGAAACTGGTATTCACTCCCGGTAAAAAACATCGATCTTACATAAAAAACAAATGTCCTCTATATAATAAATATTATTAGGATATTTTCCGGTTACTAGTGTAATTGTCGGGAAGTAGATAATTTCTCGGACTGTTTTTATTTGTTTGGGTCGTCAGACCAAACAAATAATGGTAGCGAAATTTCAGAGTCTAATGCTGTTAATTGCAAACGCCGAAAGTAGTCCACTTTTTTGAAGCGGTTACTTCCCTTCATATGTACACTAACGCTGAAACATTCAGGGGAGATCACTGCGTATAAATGGTCAAAGACAGGCGAATTAATTTTCAAGCAAAATAATTCCCGAATGGTCGAAGATTTCTAATATTGTTTTATTGTATTTTCTGATCGAAAATAAGTAAATACAAAGCGGATATTCAATCTCTGACACAGAAGTTCACAACAAACATAACAACAAGTAGTTCTCAAAACAGCTTAAAACTAGCGATTTAAAAGAAAGAAATATTTTTATTTTGTTACAAGTATCCAAAAAATAACTACGCATTCAAAGTTTAAAAATAGCGTTGGCTAATAGAATTGTCAATAAATGCACAATCACAAATTACGCGGATAAATATGATTTTATCAATGAAAATACTATTTTTAGTGATGTCGATTACCGAATACTACACAAACCGAGTAGTGGAATATATAGATTCTACATGTCGGACTGTTTGGGCGAGAAGATTTTCGCTAAATTATTTACTTCAATTTTAAACAACAGGTTTATCCTGAACAAAATACCTCGAAATTAATAAGGATTACAAACCCGAAATGCAATGGAAGTTCTAAATTTAGAATGACTTGATGTTATTCAGACATTAATTGTATAACTTCTCCGTGATGCAGGGGTAACGCGCTCGCTCAAGGAGTGAGAGCTCTGGAGTTCAAATCCAAGTCGAGGAAACTTTTTTTTTAAATTCTTTTTTAAGTGTCTTTGTTAAGGAAGTAGCCATGATATGCAAGGATAAAGTGTAACTGTCGTAAAAAAATGAACATAATTGACTTTTTGATGCATCTCTAGTTATGCAGAATTCCGTATGTATCAAACTCTGGTGCCTTGCAAAATGAATTATAATACATAAAAATAACCTTATACAGGAAAATGCATACAGATATACAGTACGATTAAGATTGCAAAGATCAGAAAATACCACAGAACTTGCATCCCTTTGATTCTTTATAAATATACATGCTTATAGTAAGCTCCAGGATTATTTACATCTGTGTTAAACAACAGTTAAAGTCGTTACAAGCCCTAATTTAGAATAATATGGTTTTCTTCAGGCCGTTTACATGTAAATTCACCGTGGCTGAAGGGTTTTTCGCACTCGCCTAGGAAGCGAGAGGTCTGGAGTTCAAATCCCAGTAAAGGCAACTCATTTTTTTTCAAATTGTTTAAGTCAAATAAACATTGGATTGAATATCAGTGTTGCAATAAGTCTTATAGCCAATTTACTACAATTAAAACGCTGGAAAGCATTGGTGGCACTATACATATAATCTCACAACCTGCACCTTTCTTACATTCTGAGACCCAAACAAATTCAGCGCCTTCTGTGCTTTGATCTTAGAAAGTTATAGTAAAAATGTCACTTAAGTTATTACTTAATGACGATTTAACTCCAGTTCCAACCAGAACACATTTATACTCAAACTCATGTCTACCTTCTACCACTCGCACCTGGAATTTTTCTTCATAAAACACTTCAATCTAGCCCAACTGTAAGCTCATTTAGGTCCAAAATAACTCAGAATATCAAAGACCACCGTCTTACTATAGTACAGGCTAACGTAAAGATCAAATCCGTCACACAAGATTAAGATTAGGATGTAGTTCATTGAAAGAAGGTCTATTGTGAATAGCCCAACATGTACATGCGGACTAAGAGAAACTGTATCTCATTTTTTTGTTGCAATGTACCAAATACAGACATATACGTCAAAGATTTCTCACTAATTTAAATTTTCCGGCTACAGCAAACAACCTTCTTTACGGCAATTAACATCTCTCTTTTGATGAAAACAAAACCCTCTTTCAGAATGTTCAAAAATTCATCATACAATCGAAGCGCGTTTTGTAAGAATTACTGTCAATGTGAACATGTCAGGATTTGGCCTTCCGTACGCTCATATTTCTTTACATTTTATTCTTAAGTATTAGACGAATATATTCAACCATATCTTTCCTTACATTCTTCCCTTCTTCTAGCATTTCTCCATAAGTTACGTTAGTTTCTCTATAGTGGTAATTCAACAATTAATTATTTTCTTTTTCTTTGTTGTACATTCAAAGAGCTTACATCTAAACGCAACATTTTTCTGAATGACATTGTTGTGAAATGTTTGTAAATGTCATTTTATGTACAATGTACAATTTATTGAATAAATAAAGTTTAAACTATATAATAAATCATAAACATAATTAAAGATTTATCAAGTTTTTTGTAATTCCTTCTTCCACTGCATTCGCAACTTTTCTGCCTTTTTCCGTCAAACTTCGGATAAGGACCTCGAAAATTATAATAAAAATACCTAAACATTTTCATGGATATCAACTTGCTTATTGTTAGGAAAACTATGTATCATACATAATTTCAAATTTGTCAGTTTAATTCAATATTGAACTTTATAATGAAACTATGCAGTTTTCAATTCAATAATTTCCAGTTAATCAACAAGCAGCCAAAGCGTCTTTATAGAATACTTCCCTTTCACGGCACATTCGGTAAGCCTTAAGGGATGCTTCTTTGACGCTAATGGCTAAATTAAAATGGTATTTATCACCAAATGGAGTAAATAAATAAATAGATAAATAAATAAAACATTTATTACCCGCGCCGCTTAAATTGCGACCACGTTAATATGGTATTGACTGACTTGTATATTGTAAGTTACAGAGATTTTTGACTGGTCAATACCCGGAAGAGTAGGGCCGGAAGATGATCAGCTTCAGCCCGAGGAAATAATTCATTTAAGGACTGGTTATCATTTTGGTGTATATTAATGTATTCAAGCACTATTTTTAATCAGAGGGCATCTGCGGCGTTCCATTCATGCAATGAAAAAGTGATTTTGTTTTACTATAAACAGTTCTTATTTTGATATGCAATCCATTAATTGTTATATTCGTGTAGATTTCGTGTAGATTCAATACTAAATATATTGGACTTGTTGAATTAAATAATATTATGCAGCAAGTAATGAACTTAAACCCATTCAATATCCTCTCTCTATATATGTAACATAAATGTAAATGCACAATTTGAAATTTATACAAAACAACTAACCAGCTTGGATAAATCCTTGTAGAGTGTGTCCGTCTGTATTTTGAATTTTCTTTTGTCTCGATCCGTGCATATCTTAGCATTATGTGTTGCCTTCTGCGAATGAATGGTAGCGCTATTTTAATTTCATGAATTTTACTTACTTAACTTCACAAATTCACGCTTTACGAATTTCCGATTTCAACATACTGAATTCGAGATTCCTCGAAATGTTTGAAAACGTGAATTTGTGAAGTTGAAATCGGAAATTCATGAAGTTGAAAAAAAAGAAGAATTCTTGAAGTTTAAATCATGAATTCTTTGGGTATAATGTCACCACCTCCAGTTTAACTTGCACAGTCACAATGTATATCCATAGAAAGTTCAGGGATGAACATATTGTCATTATCTAGACGTAATCCTTTCCATTTTGCGTGTCAAATCCTTAAACGCTGGTATGAGAGTTAGTATGTATGCCTATAATTACAACAATTTATTGTAAATAACAGTTGTTTCTGGTTACAACGTGACATTTTCTAGCTCGAATTAAATGATAAATATTGTTATTATACATGTATTATTTTTCAAAAAGTTATTTTCTAAGACATTATTTTATTATTGCTCAAAAAGTTATTTTATAAGACATTACTAAATTATTGCTCAAAAAGTTATTTTCTAAGACATTATTAAATTATTGTTCAAAAAGCTATTTTATAAGACATAGTAAAGTGTATTTAGTGTACACATGTATGTATCGAGATGAAATCTGTGTACATGTTACTCAATTTTATTTCATTCTATTTCAATAAGTTTTAAAACTCGTACCAATTAAACAAAAAATGATACGAGATAGTCCTGGTATAATATTGTTTATGCCCCGGTCACATATTCACGGATAATGCCACGGAAGAGCTACGGTCTAATCGTTCACGGATTACTATGGAAATGTGAATTTCCATAGTCCGCTACGGTTCCAGTACGGACACACAACGGTATGAGTACGGAGTCCGACGGATTTACCACCAAAAGCCCCCGGAGAGACACGCATTGTTACGGACCGACACGGTTTGATACGGAGCGACACGAATCAGGACGGACGCACTACGGATACACTACGGGCTGCTACGGTATAAGCACGGGTAAGTACGAATAAGTACGGACTGATACGGAGAAGAACGTATTGATACGGAGAAGAACGAATTGCCACGGATCTATACGGACCTAATACATCCGTCCACAACCTCTTGCTTGCTCATTTTCAAAATGCCTCAAAAGAAAAGAACCCCTAGAAAACGAATTGCAGCGTTAAATGATTTTGGCGGAGAGGATTCAGCCTAATCGCGTCCGAACCCCGAAACACATCAGGCCCAATTAAAGTGAATTTCTTGAAGAAAGTTGGATCCTCAACAGGTTCGGCCATGAGAGCCTCATACTCTTCGTAAAAGCCCATCTCTAGTCCACAATTTCGTATGTCTTCTCTTACCTGATTAGATATGGACTAGTGATCATTAATGAAAAATGTTGATCAATACTGCTTCTCTTTTAATTTTAAGATTTGCTGTTCATCTTACAATTACATTCATTATTGTGATGTTTATGTTTTAAAAAAATGTAAAAAACTTGTTAATTAATCTTATTATCACTCAAGGGAAAGTGTCCGAGGCTTATGTAACACTGCGTTTTATGTACATATTTACTCCATTTTCACGATCCAATGTTTGTAACATAAAAAAAATTATGTAACATTAAATGTTATTTTATTTCTAATGAATTGTAGTACGATATTAATATAAATTTACTTCTAAGCATGTCATCAAGCAGCTCGACCACTGCCTCCGCATTCTGAGCCATTTCAATATAAAGTTGCAGCCGGTAAATGGCAATTATCATTTATAGATGTTCCTGCAAATATATATGTCTGTTTTTAACAAGAAGGTAGTATTTATACCCTTGAAAAAGTACATGATACTTAATTCATCCGTACTAAACAGTGGTGGGCCGTACCATTCCGTACCGTTTCGTGTTGCAATGCAATGAACCGTAAAAGACCGTGCTAATCCTTGCCTCTCCGTAGTACAACGTATTACGATCGTGGCTTTCCGTGACAACGCCGTAATAATCCGTATTAAAACCGTAGCTTATACGTTTGGTAACCGTACAAATACGTAGTTCTCCGTACCAAACCGTGGAAATCCTTGACGAGTTGGTGGACTACGAATCAGTACGGACTATTACGGTTTTCGTACGGACTAGTACGTATCAATACGGATTAATACGGACTAGTAGGGATACGCTACGGTTGATTTTTCCGTAGCAAATTTTTGTGCATGTTCAAAAATTGTCAAGGATCGCTACGGATATACAAGGACTTCTACGATTGATTACGTTTACATTACGGAGAGCTACTGACCAGTACGGGTAGCTACGGACGATGCCGGAATTAATCCGTGGCTCTTCCGTGGGCGTATTCCGTGAATATGTGACCGGGGTATTAAATAGCTTTTTATTATGATAAAAGAAAATATACACAATATTTGTCTACGGACATCATTTAACGGACTGGAGACCCATTGAATGAACACAATTGGAATGGATCACATATGTCACATTGATGTGGTCACACATTTGTCACATTGTTGTGATCACACATTAGTCACATTGTTGTGATCACACATTTGTCACATTGATGTGGTCACATTTGTCACATTGTTGTTATCACATTTGTCAAATTTTTGATCACATTTGTTTATGTATGTTATGCATATAGTTTTCACCGGTATGCAAAATCATCAGTCCAGCTTCTGTGCTTTCAAGTAAGCCGCACTGTCATCATGAATGACGAATATATATAATGCAAATCTACCTCAATTACTTTATCTTTGGCTCAGTGACACTAGAGTGTGGTATTTATTTGTGTTCTTGACTAAGGATTAAAGCCAAATAATCGTTTTCCGGATGCAGTTGTAAAATATAGATAAAAAAGGTCTTTAAAAGATCATCGGAGTAAAATCAGTATGTGAAATATGCCTTCATATGCTGAAACCAAATACTGTCAAGATATTAATTTGTTTATTTATTGTATTACAGACCTTCCATAACAGACCAATTCACTTTAACGATCCTAAGCAATAGTCATATTATTATGGCCATAGTGAGTCGCAAAAATCGGACTGAGTGACATTGATTAATTACCGATACTTTGCGGATATGATCAGATATGGTAAAACAATTCTGGAAGGAAAGTGATCCTCGGAAGCATTAATCACAACAAAATTACATGAAAATTGCAGACTCAGTTTGATTGAGTCTGTACTCTATGAATAAGTGCAACATCCCTCATGCCCCCTAGCAGAGCCACACTTTAAAAATGCCTGTCTGTAGTGCATACCTTTCGAGTTCGACAAGTTGGCGCTTATTAGGTCTGGATACTACCCGTAAACTTAATAATTACGAAAACAATTTGTGCTTATATTTATCTACTTTCGCTGACTGATCTCTTGATGCTAAATCGGTGCTTGAGCCAAAATAAGAGATTGTATGAAATCGTAATCAAATTCTATTTTACAGTTTTCGATCAAGGGTTGGGAGTACAACATTCTACCCCTCGGTCACAGGTGTGACATTTTGCAGTGTGTGACAAATGCGATCCATGTAAAATGTGCCCCTGCATATACCCTCAGTACTGACAACTATTTGTATACATAACTGTAAACACAGTAGTATGATCATGAAAGGCATATAGTTCTCAAATATTGGCAAAATACACAAATTGTTTATAAAGTTGTTGAATACTGATAAAATTTATTCTTTTGTTAATGCTTCTATTCCCTACGCAGAATGCTAGTGCCCGAAATGCTATTTCCGTTTATTGGCAAATACCGTACTATAGTTGCGATTAATGAAATATAAGAGTGCACACAATGTCTTATATTTTACTATATTTAGCATTTTAAATTTCGTTTTGACTTCCATACATGAAACAAATTCAGTTAACTCAAACATCAAACAGAACTAATATTGTGATCTACCCTTACAATAAATTAAGCGCTATAATAAATGACACACAAATGTAACACTTTCAACTTTTCATATTTTCATTGATTATTAAAATTAAAGACTACTTATGTCATTTATAAAAAAAGCTTTTCTGAAAGAAAGAAGAGTTTTTTTTACCAAATTGAATTAATCCAACCTTTTAACTTTAACTACACACAAAAAACTATGTCAGCTAAAAAATCGTACACTCACCTCTGAATATTAATTATACGTACTTTTTTTTCACATTTTTATCTTAATAATATTCCACTTTCTGTATACATGAACGTATTATATACGCTAGGCTGATTAATTGTTGGTGATGGGTTAAATAGAAATTATAATATTTTACAAAGAGAGCGCGGACTTGTAAAACCAGTTACAATATCTTGCCAGACATTAGGCAAGATTTGAATATGATAAACCCTTTAACAACTTTATTTGAGCCGTGTCATGACAAAACCAACATAATGGGTTTGCGACCAGCATGGATCCAGACCAGCCTGCGCATCCGCGCAGTCTGATCAGGATCCATGCTGTTCGCTTACTAACCCTATTACAAGTAGAGAAGCTGATAGCGAACAACATGGATCCTGATCAGACTGCGCGGATGCGCAGGCTGGTCTGGATCCATGCCCGTCGCAAACGCACTATGTTGGTTTTATCGTGACACGGCTCATTTTGTGACCTATAGACTTGATATTTTTCATAGTTTCCTAAGGCAGTTCAGATATTTTCTTACTCGAACTTAAACACTGAAGAATAACTTATTAGCAAGAAAACATAACTTTTTTTTCATCTAGAACCCCCAAAAATGATCAGCATCAAATACTTGTAACTTTAGTGTTATTGTTGTTTTATTGACCCTAATTCAGTATCTGCAGTATATTCCATTTACCCCAGGGGAAGCAGATGTCACCGGCAATGGCGCGTCGATTCCAAGTAGAAGGAAATATGTGCTCTCTATCTGTTAAGCATGAGTTTTAAACTGACGTCATTGAAATATTGATATCCGGTCAACGGCTGACCTGTGAAGAAGGACATCTATAGTTGGGCAAGCCCCTCACCGCTGTGGGTTTGAATACCGACAGGGACTTTGGATTCTTTCAAGTGAAGAAGCTATCCAGCTAGCTTACTGAACGTCGGTGGTTCTACGGTCTTCCTCCACCAGTAAAGCTGGAACGTCGCCATATGTCCTGTATTGTGTCGGTGCGACGTAAAACCCAAACAAACAAACAAACAAACAAATCCTCTTGGACAATATAAGAAATTCTCCAGAAGAGCACAATCGCGCCGAAAGATGAAAATGATTGTCGCGTGGGTATATCAAATAATTGTAAAAAACTGCATTGTGTGTGTTATACCTGTTCGGACCTTCGAATGGCAACCTTAATATACCCTTCAAA